AAAATTTACGAGTGTGTATTTGTTTGTGTGTCAATGTCAATGGTCATCAAGTTTGGAAACTGAAGCAATTGAGTTTGAATCTCTGCTGAAGCTGTTTTGTATTTGCTTGGGAAAGGCACAAATAGGTTTCTCTTGAACTGTCTTCTTGTGACCATAAATTGATACAGGAGAAAAAGGTTAAGTGGAAAATTGAACAAACCACTCTACCATAACTACCTGATGACTCAGGTAATTGTAAGAGTAAAAAAGCTGTTACACTTGTTATCAATCTTGCATAGACTAGTCATTTAGAATTTGTTCAATGTTAAAGCAATAAGATAAAATAAATAACTACTTAATAACAGTTGTATTGTACTTTTTTTGTCATAATCTTCCTTAGAAAATTCATGAATTAAGTTTTGTCCTATAAACTTTATAGAGTTGTTGCTAGAAAAGTATTTTGTTTTTAGTTCAGGTTGCTGTTACTGCTTATAAGAAGATGGCAAAATAAAAAAAATCAAATGAATCAATGTTCAAAATCATTATTCAAGCTTAGTTTAAAAACAAAGATCAAATTTACTATCTTGTACTTTTCAAAGAAGCTTTTAGCTTACCAGTTTGAAAGAAGTCATTATAGTAAAGTTCACCTTCATACACCTTAGTATGATACAAGTCCAAATATGGTTAGGAGCACTTTTCTTGAAGAACAGGGTCTCATATAACAATAACATTGATTATTCTTAAAAAATGTCTTGATCAGTGTCAATCTCAACTGGTTCACCTGACCATGGAGTATTGTTCAGCAAGAACAAATGCTCAGCATAATTAAAAAAAAAACAAACTAATTCACTGTACATTCGAAATGCATTTTTAGCTTTCTTAAACTAAAAAAAATATAATATGATGGCAATGTTGCTAAACGTTTTCCTATTTTAAAAAAGATTTTTTTTATATTGTTGTTCGTCCAATACAAGGCCCAAGAGCCATTCAAGTTAGAGGATTACTGTGAAATTGTTACAAGGGAGAGGAAAAGAGGGAGAGAAAAATATCAATTTATAAAATATTTAAAAAAAAATGTTAGCTAATATGAAAGCTATCTTTTTGAATGAAATTACTTAAACATTCCTAATGACAAAAACAGACTGAATTTTATAGCCTACTCAATATTATTAATGAAAAAAGTTGATCATTTAATACTTATATATGTTCATCTAAAAAAAAAAAGAAATATGCAAAATATCACCTTTAAATATGACGCTTAAGTACCATTTGAAACCCAAAAACCTTCTTTTGAAAAGAAGGACCCTGTCTAGCATTTCACAAAGTTATGAATAAATAAAAATCATGAGTTATATGAGCTGAGCACTTAAAATGCAAGTTAAAGATTTAACCATCAAATTTTACTGACATTTTTTTAACATGCTTCAGTACTAAGTCTATGTTGTCTTTTGGGAATCAAGAAGAAAGGGATTGTCTATGGTCAAGAATTAATGCAAGGGCTATTGATAACAGGGATTATTTATGTATATTGTTCATAGTGATGGAAAAATATTTAAAAAGGAATTTAAAAGAAACTATGATGAATACAGCAGACTTGTAGAAGAAATATTCCTTGTAGAACTTGTTGGATTCTGTTTGTCTTCAGTGATAAAAAAGAAACTTGATTCATTGATTAGGTATGAAAAAATGTTTTATAAATATTCTATGAATGATGGTCCCTTTCAAGGGCTACAATGGTAGTTACAACTTTATGTCGGTACCTGCATAGATTCTAATGTAATTTTTCTCGAATATTCATTGGCAACTGACATGATAGTGACAAAATCTTCATAGAAACAAAGTGTTTGAAACTTTAATTTGAATCTCCATAATTACTGAAGTTATTGTATTTTTGTTAAATTCACTGAAAGATTAAAGCCAAACATTGCTTGTGTTCAGAAAATAACTAAAACAGTTTGACATCTTAATACAATGTGACTTCATTTCTTTTGTTGTTGTGGTCATTGTCAAATTTTGTGATCTGTTCTCATGGATTATGGATTGAATCATTTTGAAAATGCCAGGAGGTTACCAATTATTGACAGTCACCTGAAGAACGTCAGAGAGAACAATGGTCAAAATGATCATTGTAATTAAGATGAGGACAGTTGTCCAAGTGAATCAGTGGCTAACATATGTTGAAAAAATATTCAGACAAATTTATTTATTTGATAGATCTTGGTAATTATTTTTTTAGACTTCGGTTTACATTTTTATGTTTAAAAAAAAAAAAAAAAAAAGATTTAAATTTCTTAGTTTTGTGTAGACAATAATTGTGTAACTGTTTTCCATTGTCCTCTTCCTCATCATCAGCCTCGTTGCGTTGTCTAGTGTTTTCTGTTGGCCATCAAAACTAAAGTCTGATGTATTGTTAAAATTAATTATGTAATAAACAAAAATAAAATTAACTTGAATACTAACTATTACTAATTCTTCTTACCTTGTCTGTAGATATTTACAGAGCTTAATGTTAAACTACATTGTTCTACTACAAACATCATCATAAAAATCACAAAGCAAGCTTAGATTGTGTTGCCCCCAATCTTTCCCTTGAGGGTAACCCAGTTGCCTTCCTTAAAAATCAGCATTTAGCTGAAAACAATGCTGATTTTCTATAGGATGGTAAACAAAACATAAAAAAAAAAAAAATTAAATTCGTTACATCAATAACTTATTTAATCCAGACCCCCTCCCACCCTTTTTTCTTTTCTTTTTTTTTTTTTACAGACATACGATCTTCCGCTTCATTACAAAAAGCAAGCAACTAAAACCTAAAAAAAAAAAATTGTCACCCTCTTTCCTCCTTTATCACAAAACATTTTTTTTACTTTAAAAAACGCGCCAATCTACTTATTTTTCTAACTGATACCTTGTCCCCACCTTCCTTCACCGAGAGAAAAGAGAGCGTGAGTAAGAATTATTTTGATAGATGGAGTGTGACTACCACAAAGCAGGTGTCTTCTTCCTTTCACCGAAGCCAGGTACAATAGAGACTATTTTTATATAGTGATACTTTGTTCTTATTCTCTACATAGATCATCCGTTGTTAGACAAAAAAACAAAAAAAAAACAATTACACGCAAACATTTGCTTTCGGGGATGTAAGCTGTTGTCTCGTTTTTATTTGTAAATAAAAATAGCATTTTTTACATGATGACGATATACGCGTTGGTAGTACGGATTTTTAATTTAGTAACTGTAAATGTCGCTCGGATAAACAGAAACTTTTTTCATTGACTCTCTTCTCTAATGTTTTTGGACACTTCTTTAAATTTAAAGAGGGGCTAGTATAAAGTCCGTTTCTTTGTTCTTAATCTTCTTATGCAAACTAACATCTTCACGCTTGTTGTTTTGATCACTCCATTTCGGCCAGTGGGCTCTTCTACCTTCTTCCTCGAGTACATGCGACGCAGACAGACTAAGGAAGGCCGGAAAGCTCACCAGCCGAAACGTAGTGATCGAAAAAACAATGATAGTTTTTGACGACACACGGAAGGCTGAAGAATCCATCGATTGAAACCGTAGTGATTAAAACTCGACAAAACTCATCCAGATAATTCATCGAATAATATAGTAACAACACTTCACTCCGAAAACATCTACAGATGAAAGAAAAAAAAAATCCGCAGATCGTGATTGTTTTGTTTGATGCTTATGGTCTTCCATAGTTTCTTGTTGATTTTCATCTTTGTTTGGTGAGGGAACAATTTCTGGTTTTATCCCAGAAAAATTCAGATGCAAAGCAATGTTAATTTAATTATACAACTACGTGATTTTTTTTTTTTTTAAACTTAGTTAAAAAAAATTCTCTTATTTACGACAAAGACAAGAAAATCATAATAAAAATTTCGAAAAAATAATGTAGATTTTAAAAATGTGTAAATAAAAAAAGTAAATAAATAATATCAATAAACTCCCCTGATTTAAAAAACAAAACAAAAAAAAATTTCGTTCCTCATTGGGTTTTTTTTTTTTATGGCGTGCGTGTGTGTAATTAATGAAATTCATGACAAAACTTTTTTTGTTACAAAATGAAAATTATGTTGGTGCCCAATATCACAACCAGAAAGAAGCCACCTGTGTTTTAATTAGATATTGAAACCGTCTTGTTTGGTTGTTAAAATTTAAAAGTGAAGCACACCGACCAAAAAAGTCTATTTCGTTTGTTCTTTTCATTTTTTTAAATTTTTTTTTATCAAATTGTAATTGTTATTGTTGTTCATTCAACTTTTAAAAGGAGAGCGTAGACTGATGACTGCTTTCATAATTTGAAATCTTGTGTGACGGAATGTGAATAATGAATAACTTGAAACCGCGTACTTAAACAAAAAAAAAACTTGGTTTTACAAAGAAGTTGTTTGGAGGTAATGATTTTCATTTGTTGAATAAGTAAAGCGCTAAAAAACACAGGTGAACACCTGGTAATGAGGATCGAACTCTCTTTTTCCATACAAGACTACAGCAGGTAGCCTAAACTTTAGTCTGGTAAAAAAGGCTACTTGAAATAATGGGGTTTCATAAACTAACATTTTTAGTTTTACGGCAATCTTCTGCGTAATGTAATCCCATAACAATTCGAACACTTTGTCTTTATTTATAAATTTATTACCAATTTTTCTTTTCTTTTATTTTCCATTTCCAATATTGTCATTCGAATTTTTGGATATTTTTGATCCAGGTTGCTGACAATGATCGGAGAATGACGATCTGAGAAAGGCTATATAAAAAATGTAGACAAAGTATTTTATTACGAAAGAAGTTACGAGATAAAAAATAATAATTGACAAATAATTGGAGAGATTCGACCACTTTCATAATTTTTTTTTTTTTTTTACAAGTTTAGCAATCAAAGAAAATTGTTTAACTTAAAGTAAACCTTACAATTTGTTTGTCTCGCGTATTCACGTTTAGGGCCAAGAGAAAAATGTGTTTGTTGCTCCTTGTTCACAAAAAATAGATTTTCTTGTGTAAATAATACTTACTGTTGTACTAACAAGTGGTGTTGCTGTTGTTTGTATCCAGGCGATAGTAAGAATTAAAATTCGTATCAAAGTTTCTCCTCTGTCCATGTTGCTAGAGAGTAGTAGTAGGTATTCCTAGTCGTACATAAAAACTTCGAATGATGAGGGTTTTAATTAGAATTCAGTTTTTTTTTTTTTTTTTTTTTTTTAGTGGTATATCAAAAAACTACCCAGTTGACTGCATTTAGTAGTCACTCTTTACTGATCTCCTCCAGCGCACCGACTGGGGAGAAAGACACCTCGAACGTTTCTTACCAACACTTTTTATGACTCTCTCACTCGACAGACGTCGTGGGGCGGAGGGCACGAGGCAGATAGACTGAGCGTCGCACCGCTGTTGATAGGCTACCTTCACAGTCCTTCCTCCCGCCAAAAAACAATTACAAAAAAAAAAAAAAAAATGATTTAAGGTGGAACGCTACGCAGGTCTCTATTGTGGTGGTGGTGGGGGGGACGGGCTTAGTGAATAATTCCGTATTGTTTTTTCTCCTCCCTTTTCCTTCAAACGTTTTATCTAAAAAATTGTGACTGCTTATTTTTTATATTCGCTTTTTGTTGTAGAGAGAATAAAAAACCCCACAAAAATAATGACACACAAACAAAAGTTTTCTTTCAAATTGCAACGCGTTTTTAATGAGACAGGAAGCAAAACTAATAAAAACTAAAAAAAGTAATTCTTTAAATTTCCGTTTCGATGTGTATGCATAGGTGTATGTTGTTGGGTGTTTATTCTGTGTGTCTGTGTGAATTTAGAAGCCTACGTGTTCTGTTGGTGATAAGGCGTGTCTGTAAAAATAAAGTGCAAGTTGTGTGCGTAAATGTGATAATGTGTCTGTGTGTGTGTGTAAAAATAAGGTGTAAAGTTGTATGCATAAGTAAATGAATACTGTTTGTTGTTTACCTACGCGCAATTTGGACGTCTAAGTAGGCGGAGTTGAATTATTCCCCCCTCCTCTCTTTGTGTCATAATTGGTAAATCCTGTCCACCCGCCACTACCCGCTTCTTGTTGAGGGTAAGAAGCACGCACGCTTTCATATCTCCTTGTTTTCTTTTCTTTTTTTACAAGCGACTCCTGACTATTCTGTCTCTTTCTTTCACTCACCCCGCCCCGGGTCTAGTCACAAATTTTTCTTGAGGGGCGGGGAATAAGTGCATCGCAATTCGATGTCCCCCCCTCTCTTACCCATTGTTTTTTTTTTGTCTTTCTACCTCGCCGACCTTTTTTAAAGACAGATTCGAAATCTCAGTAACTTAGAAGTGGGAGGAAGAGGAGGGAAAAGAAAAAAATTGTAGTCACACTTCTCATTATTATTAAAAAGAAAAAGAGCTTAAAAGCAAGCAGTTGTCGCCTGCTGTCACTTAGGACGGGTTTAGGACATTTACTAAATAAATACATACGTCGTTCTTTCGTTTCATTAAGCGGCGGTAGTGGCGATGGTGTTCATAATAGAGGTTTTCCATACTTTACGTAATGTCGCGTGTGACTATAGCTTCATAATTCCTGAATATGTTGTGAAACACAAAACAGCCCATGTCTGCCAACAAAATCTATTTCTTCAGCCAACCCGACCTCCTACCTTTCCATCAACTCCACCCTCACGGTTGATAATTTCACTTTATCTCTTCTTCACCCACCTGCCGCGTCGCCGATTTTCAGGACCGATGTCTTTGTTTAAGATTTTTCTCTGCACAATTGCAATTACTATTACATCTTTTTTTTTTCATTTCCCATTACTACTTTTTTCTTTTTCTTTCTTTCTTTCTTTAACAATACTCAGGTTTTCTTCTCCCCCCCCCCATTTAGTTGAGATTTATATTCATTGACCAGACATGAATTAAACATTTTAACAATAACATTTGACACGATCGTTTTCTAAAATACGTTGTTCGTTTACTTTTATTTCTTTTGCTTTTTTAGGTACCACCAATATTCCGAAATGAAAGTTAAAAATCTCCCCGCCCTACCGTTTTTTTTTTTCTTTTCCCAAAATTCACGGACTTTTATCTGATTCAAAAGAAATGTTCTGTACTTATTCATCAATGAATGAATTGTAATGAATAATGGGTTATTTTATGAGAAATCTTTGTAGAATTTTTTTTTTTTTGCGTTGGGGTTTGTTTCTCTCCCCCACCCCCCATTTCCGATATCTCCTGTGAACTTTTTACTTTGGGGTGTGTTCGTGAATTTTTTTTTTTTTCAGTTATATAAAAAAATCCCTGAAGAAAATCTTATGCAGTATCAAACGTGAATATACAGAAAATTCGTCTCGAATCTTACCAAAAATAATTAAAAAACACAAAAATAATTTTTTATGACAATTATGATTGCATAATGCATAATTTAATAAAATATTATTTTATTTCAGATATATATATATATATATATATATATAATTATTATTTGCAGAGATATATATATATATATATATATATATATATATATATTCTTTCAGATATATACATATATTATTTTCTTTCACACACACACACACACACACACACACACACATATATATATTAAAAAATTCTTTTTTTTTTTTTCCAGTGTGATTTTGAAATCCTGTTTTTTTTTTTTTTTTCTAAAAATGTTTGAAGAATCAATAAATAAAGTTTAATGACATTTTCAAGTGAACCTTTTTTTTTAAAAAGAGTTTTATTTTATTTTCATTTTAGCAGCTGTTAGATATTTTTTTAGTATAGAGTTTCAAAAAAGAAATAACTATATAAATTATTGCCTTTGGTTAATTTTTCCTATTGAAAGAGTAATATGATATTATCATATAACTCTTCCAATAGGGAAATGTAGCCAAAGGCAATTATATGATAATTCAATAAATTATTGAATAATTAAAAACAGACACATTGGAAGCAATTAGATATTTTATGACATCAAACAGGCAAGAAAATAATAAAAAATAAAAGCAAAATGTATTAAACTTTAAAGTATCATTTAACAAAAAAACAAAAAATACTTCTAATATAGTATAAAAAATAAAATTTTTCATTCTGCTAGAATTATATTCTTAACCTATTGGTTATATTAGATTGAAGAGAATTTATTTTTAAACTTAAAGACCAATGTCGTGATTATTACACTGCTTGTGTTCATATTTCTGTAATTTTTATTTTTAATTTTTTGTGTGCTTTTAAAATCAGAAGTGTAATTATACGTTATTTTATTTTTAACCTCTGATCCCGTATAAATAAACATTATTTTCATTAAGTTTTAAGTAAGATGTAAGCATTATTTTTACAGAATTGAGTTAATTATTCCTAAATTTAGTAAATGACTTTGAAACCTATTTCTAGGATAAATATTAGATTTTTAAGAGATTTTAAAATTGGTTTGCTTTTTTTGTCTATAATGGCGGTTTGATGAATCAATGAGTGAATGTGCCAATGCTTTAAAAATGATTAAAATCTTAATGGAAATTAATATTTCTTTCAATGCAGATTAACTTTAGGCTCTTATTGTTCAAAGAAGGCATTTAAATTATCTAAGATGCATTTTCTTTGTTTTGGGGAGGCCATGGTGGTATCTTTTTTTTTTTTATTGCATAAAAATCTAACACTCTTTCCTTTGATATTTATTAAACTTAGCTTTGTGCAAATATTAGAGGAGGAGTAGGAAGTAACAATCTTTATGGCGGCAAAGATTAAAAACCAATCTTCAAAATCTTGACCTTTTATATTTGCCAAACAATCTAATACAGCAGAAGAATAAATGAGGAAAATCTAGCACTATATATTTTCCATTTACAAGCTTCCAAATGATGGTGGTGGTGGTAGAAATTCTCTTTCACTGGGGTAGATTGTTCTAGTTCCATGTGTCATGCCTCTTCCAGATGTCTTACTATCAGTTATCTCCCTTTAACTCAACTCTTTGGGCTGTAGCCAGATATAGAACTCACAACTCTTTGGGTCAAGTCAATGGATCCAACCAACACTTTTATCCACTGGGCCATGTGTCCTTGAAAACATTGGTGTAGAACTGTAGGCAATGGTAGTAAAGAAAAGTCAATAATAAATTAGTCATTTTTCTAAGAAAGGGATATTTCTCTCTCTCTCTAAATGGTTTTGTTATTGTCTGACATTAAAAGTTTGTGTTGAAATCTGGAAGAAAACTGTCTTTTTTTCCATCTCCACCAAATCTTTCTTGTCTTCTATTAGAATTCTTAGAAGATTGTAAATGAATCTCACTTATTGGGTGACAATAATCATCAGAGGTTTTGTATTTTGCTGATAATAAAATCATATGCAGATGATGTTTAGTTGATATTCTGAGTCAGAGAACAACCAAAAGAGAAATTCATGCAATTGCTGAGAAAGTTATTTCTTTTGAAAAGATCATTTTTTTTTTTTTTTTTTTTATATGAAGTGATTTATTTTTTCTTCTTCACCTCCCTCCACTGGGGAATTTTCTCAAAAGTCATTTCATGTAATTTATTAAGCTGTCTAAAATCTAAAAAGAGGAATTCTCTGAAGACACTTTCTGATTTTTGAAGGGCTTGTTGGAAGGATTTATAGGTTCTTGAAACCTGAGATTCCTATGGCCAAATGCCAAATCTGGCATTTTTGGGGTCTTTTTTTTTTTTTTTTGGTGTCAAAATGCTGTGGGTGTGTTTATATATATATATATATAATGTGTGTGTGTGAAAACTATATATAATTTTTTGATATATCAAGAAATTTGTGGGGGGGGGGTTATTTCGTTAGATTCTTTTTCTTAATGTTTCCGTCAATTTTGTTATTAAATATCTTGCACTGTGATACTAAAAAAAATTGCCAAGAATGGTGACCCATAATAACCTGGATGCAAATTTACTGTGGATGATCTAGTGATTAAAGCAATTTTTTATATATATATATATATATGCACATACAATAAAATGAATTCAACAAATATTCAGTGAATATTATTGATAAGCAGTTTTTAAAAAAAGAAAGAAGTTGATATAGATATAATTTCAATTTACAAATAAGTTTCACACTAAGTAGCAATCATCAGGTAAGTAAGAAGTCAGTTTCATTGTATAAGTACCTACACACACATTTCTTTCCTCAATCAGTGAGGTTGATGATGAAATAGAAAAATATTTTTGTGTTTATAATGATCATCTCTGATCTTTACTTCCAGGGTTTCTCAGAGACTCCAATATACACTATATCAAGTCTCCTTTCCGCTTTCACTTTAAATTTATGCATAATGTTCTTTGCTAATTATCTTATTAAAAGATCAAGTAAATTCTTTGTGATCAAGTAAATTCCAATCAATTCACAAATTTTTAGCACCATCATAGTTAGCCATCATTACAAACACACTCACTCTCTTTATCCATACTACTACTCTATGCTACATCACTGACTTGGCAATGCTTGTCTTTTTTAAAAAATTTGTTTGTCATTCAAAATGGTATATTACTTTGCCAAATTAATGGCTCTATCAGGAATTTACTTCTCAATTGAGGAGTAAAACGCTAACAGTAAAAATATAAAACTTTAAAGTCTGTTTCAACTCTATACTTCAATGTTTATTTAAGTCTTTAATTTCAGTAGGACGATAGGTGCACCTGTTGTCTAGTTCACACACCGTTCCGGCCTTTTGGACAGGGCCAGAGGATTATCCCTTGTTTCTGGTACCTTCTAAAGTCTACTTCAATTGTATATTTCTAACATCTCCTCATAAACTCTGAAATTTTATTTACTATTTATTTACTTTTTCCCCCTCAATTAGAGTAGATAAGTTCATGCTCCTTCCTGATTTTTTTTAACAGGAATAGAGGGGTTATCTCTTATTTGGGATAGGGGTTTTGGTTTCTTCTGAACTCTTGCCATTCTCTTTCACTTCCAGTAGCACCCCCACTTGTGTCTTAGTGGCATTATTACCTTGCCTGAGGTGGATTGATGAAAAAAAGGAAACTATTCAAGTCTGTTTTGTACATTTTTCTTGATGCCATACAGCTGTGACTTTATTCAAAGTGTTATAAATTTAAAAAAAAATTATTCCTCAACACAACTGAACTCTAGTAGTGCATTGTACTGAGCATGTGCCCCTCTCTTCAAAACAATCAGGTTATCCAGTTAGGGGAGGGCTTATTTCTTCATTTTGAAAGCATAATTCTCATCTGTTACAGCAACATTCTCTCCATTGGGAAAATGGAAAATACTAAGCTTTCTACCTCATTTATTTTAATAGTTTTTTTTTTGTTTTACTTTTTCAATAAACCTTGTATTGCTGTAGTGACATTGAAGGAATATTTTTGAATGAATATTTAAATGGGAATTCTTCCATGTTTGTCAATAAATAAATAAACTGTAAAAATCAAAAGGGGTTTGTAAATGTAAGCCTGAAAATTAATTCCTGTTGTACCATCTACCCCTACCCTGCTCCCAGCCACTGCCACCAATTGATAATTGGTGTGGCTCATAGATAGACAACAAATCTGGTTTCTTACCTTCATTGCCTGACTTTTTTTTTTTTTTTTGATTTTTTTCATTTAAAATCTTTATTTGCTAATCATTAATATTTGTAGTTTTTATTTGGTGGATTTTGATATATATATATATATATATATATATATATATATATCTCGAGATAGAAAAAATTTTTGTGTGATGTGTTTCATCCTTTAGTACTTCATTTGGACTAAGTTTATGTTTACATTGATGTGACTACACATGAGCTGAGAATTTTGAATTTAGAAATAATTTTTTTATGTATGTTTTCAGTATATAATCTAACAAATTTCATTCAGATTCTTTTTTCTTTTTCTTTATCACTTATATTATTAAATATGCCATATTGTGAAAATAGAAGATCTACCAAGAATGATAAAATCTGAGAACCAAGGCACAAATTTACTGTTGATGATCAAGTGATTGAAGCACTTTCTAAATATTTTTGTCTCAGTAAATTGTTTTTTCTTTTAATTAGAATAACAATTTTTAAATCAAAATTGTGGTCAGTCTTCTTATGGTGAGCAACTAATAAACTGCATCTAGAGATTATATGCAAAAGAGGTATTGTCAAATATTTTATGTAAAATTCATAGATATGTGTTATCCAATGAAATAATTTGTACTATTATGTATAGTGAGTAAGCATGAAAGCAATTAAGTCCCAATTTTCAATTTCAGATTGATATTTATTATTTTTTTAGTTATTATAGCAATTTGCAGTGTCAAGAGATTATTTGCTAGAACTAGAATTTAGTATTATGGCTTGTAAAAAAGAACTAACAATGAATGAAAAGAACTATATAATCAAAGAAATTAGCAAAGGAAAGTCTTCGCTTCAAATTTCTAAGGATTTGAAATGGGATCATCGAACAATCAAGAAAATATGTCAAATGGGAATTCAGCCAAGGAAAAAAAAGTCTCAGGCTGAATTCAGGAATTTAACAAAGCGAGATCTATCACATATCCGAAGAGGATAAATAAGAAACACAAATGTGTCAAGTGCATTCATATTTGAGGCCGCTGGTGCTCCTATGGTGTCAAGGGAAACAAGGTGTAAAGCATTAAGGAAGTTTGCTGATGTAAAAAATCAAATAAAGAAACCAATTTTAACAAAAAAACATAAGGAAAGAAGATTGCAGTGGGCAAAAAAATACATGAAAACTGATTTCAGTAAAGTGCTTTTTACAGATGAATCAAGGATCACCCTCGAATGGGCCCGATGGATAGGCTCAAGGATGGGTTTGCAAGCAACATGACTCAAGAAAATTTTTTAAATGCCAACAAGGTGGCGGTGGGATCATGATATGGGCTGGGATTATTGGTAATGAGCTTGTGGGTCCATTTAAACTGAAAGACTGGTTTTCTAGAGCAATATTTCTTTGAATGGCTTGATAACCAGTCTTTAGCCAAGCGTAGATCTATGATCTTTATGCATGACAACGCACCAAGTCATGCATCAAAGTTTACTAAATTCTGGTTGAAAGAAAAGGGATTTGTTGAAGATTCTCTTATGGACTGGCCTTCAAATAGCTGTGACTTGACTCCCATTGAGAACCTGTGGAGCATCCTCAAGAGAGATATTTATTCTAATGGAAGGCAATTCAACAGCAAGTGTGACCTCTGGGAGGCAGTTAAAGTTGCTGCAAACAACTTACCAGCCGCTAAAATTGCAAATCTAACATCAGATGTTGACAATAGGCTGCTAAGAGTTATTAAAAAGAAAGGAGCATTTGTGCAATAAATTTTAGGAGGTTCTTATTATTTTTTGTTAATATAGCTTTTATTTTTAAAATAAAATGTTTTTTTTATGTTTTTCCTTTAAGAAATTGACGAATTCTAAAATCTTTTCATATTATTTTTTTACATTAGTTTTACAAGGTATAATAATGTAAAAGTATCAAAATAAATAGTTGCAAATAAACCACTGACAGTCAAATTAGTCTGTTTTGTTAGTAAAATTTTTTCCAACCAAAAACAATAGTTTTCTCTATCACTATATATCTAAGTTAATAATATTGAGTAGAATCTAAACAACATCATAATAGGACTTTTAACATTAAAGACGCAACTCTTTATACCAATTCATAACTTGCATATAATCTCTAGACGCAGTTTACATTTGATGTGTTGTTTTGTAAAAGATTCCTTTTGTGTTCACATGATCATTTATTTAAATTCCTTGATGTTTCTCTGATTTATTACTTGTGGCAATTATTACAGTTGATAGAATAAATTCCTCCAAGTTTTAGTTTATTATTTTGTTTTGTGTTAAGTTTTTTTATTGTTTTAGGCATAGTTGTGTCAAATTTTATATTGAGTATGGATTTTTAAATATTTTATGAGCCTTTTGTTTTGCCTTTAATATGAAATAGGGTATTGGAGGTGTTTAAAAGTATTTTGAATGTATTTTTCCTCTTCATGTAAATACTGAGGCCTACAAATTTTCTTAAATAGAATCTGAGGATTATTCTGGATTTTATTTTGTTGTTATATTGAGAATAGAAATTTATGAGATCATTTTTATTAATTAATTTGAGATGGACACTAAGATTTAGACCATTGTTAATACAGTGTAGCATGATACCTAGGAAAGGTAAAGTATTGTTGGTTTCCATTTCGTAAGTAAATCCTACTGTATGTTTTACTTTGTTTAGTTTATCTAAAAAGTCAGGTAAATTAGTATATTAATAGGGCATCATCACTATATCAAAATTATGTTGACTTTTTTTTCAGTAAAATGTTTTGGAAAGGAGCAGATTTAAAAAATTTTAAGAAGATACATGCCATCATCCCACCTAGAGGTGACCCCATTGATAATTCAAAATTTGTTTTTAAAAAATTATTATTAAATGTGAAATAGTAGGGAGAGGTTTATTTTTGACTGTTAGATGCTTTTTTTTTTAAAGAGTTAAGAATTTATTCACCTGGAAATTGGTATAATGTGATTTTATATCTAAACAAGCCATGAGTTTGTCAGTCATATTTGTTCTCCTTAGTTTTTCAACCTGGTTGCCTGAATTTTAAATGTGGTGCGCTGGTTGTTCTGAGGATAGTGGTTAAAAGTTTTGTTATGGCTTTTGCCAGTTTGTGGAGAGCATTGCCAATACCTGAAATAATTGGGATGCTTTGAATATTTCTTATGTGAATCTTTAAAATTTCTTTTTGTTAGAAATTTGAAAAAAATTATCCAGCTTCAAACAAGGTCACAAAGAAATGATATTATTTGTTTAAAAAGGTCACATTGTGAAGAGTATGGGGAACAGATAGGATTGTGGCCTTGTGCCAGGTTTTAAGTAAATATCAACTAAGATCTGTTGAATTTCCAATGTTCACACAAAGTGATTGATAATTTTTTTGTATTAGAGAAAAAGAAAATTGTCATTTCTGAATTTTAAACATTGAAAACTTAATTTATACTCTTTTGTGCAATGCAATAGTGAAAGTGTTGTATGAGTTTGATATTTACTGAATGACCCCTGTATTTATGACTTTCTATTGAACCAAACTATGATTTTAACATTCTTTTGTTAAGAATCTCATGAAAGAAAGATATCGGGGTTGGTGGTGGGGGAGGGGGATAGAAAAGGGAAGTTTACTTTTTTGCTGTTTTTCTACTCTACATTGTACCAACTGTCAGTGGTTAAATACTGGTTTTTCTAAGATTATCTCTAATGGGTAAACAATTTAGTATTGTGACTGTCTTAATTGTAGAGAATCATTAATGGGTCAATGGTTAGTAATAAAGATAATAACTTGTGATAATAGCCTATCCATTAGAAATATACAGCTGAGAATTTCTTTAATATTTTCATTGTTGAATATCATCTTATGTAAAGCACCAGTCAGTAACGGAATGGATTTAAAAAATGTCAGTCACTTCTTTGAGGATATGAGATCTGTTTTTTGGTCTTGTTTCTTCCATTTTTTAAATTGTCTTTAATATTTATGAATTTGTTTCTCTAAAATCTTTCAGCACTGACCTGAGGTTCAGGATCCTTGATGTGTCCTACTATGATGAAAAGACCCTTTCAGTTTTACTGCAGGATGAGACCCGAGGCAACCCTGTTTTGGCTCAGTTGCCCATAGCTGCTGTGGATACAAATTGGTTTACTAATGTTCCTCATGGAACAAGTAACTTTTTCCTCTCAGAACTGTGAGTCTGTGTTTCATTTGCCTTTTCTCTTTCTGACATTGGAAATTCTTTTGACAAGAGATATACAACAAAAATATAGTGTCAAGTCAGTCTTTCCCCTGCTACTGATACCATGTAATCTACTACTGTCTGCAACATGATGATGTTAACATTTCATTATTGGGTATATGATGCCCATGATGGGGGGGGGGTCACCAGCCAGAGCACAGAAGGCTCGAGACAACCTACAACAGCCATGTGTTCATGATTAGAGGAAGTAATTTACTTGTGGTATACCTTGAGAGGGATGGCTTCTGCAAGAATATTCCAACCCAAAACATACTACACAGCACCTCTATGAATGTCATGTTATGGAACCAGTGACAATGACCAAAAAAAGGGATCTCTTGGCAAAATATCACATAGTTGGTTCAAATTGTTCTTATCTCACTTTGGAAATTCATTCTGCTTTAAGATTAAAATATTGTTCTTGACTAAGTAAAATGTTTAATTTTTAAGATCTTTCTTCCTTGTCTTGTCTTGATTGCAATATTTTGGCTGCTATATTCTTCAGCCTTCTTTTATATTCACTAATTTCCAGTAATGTCAAACAGAAGCCTTTATTTGATCTACAGGTAAACTCCCTTCTCATTCTTTTACCTGAGACATTGGGTGTTTTTCTGAAGATTCTTTCCTCAAGGTCAAATCTGCTTCCATGATTTGTAAAGAACCAGATGAAATTTTATCCACTAGGCCATTGCATCAACAATATTTCAGAAACTAATTATACTCACAGCTCATATTCTTATTTTTTGAAATCTATATTGTACATTATCAATAAATAACTTCCATGTGGCTAGCTTGTTTTTCAACATATTTCTAATGACAGGGTTAGAAAACATGTCTGCCTAGAAAATCAGCATTTAAAAGTCTGTCCTCTCCTTTTCCTTTTTATCTGGTACTCAACCACCAAACAACTGTTGTTGATTTTTACTGAGGAGTCTTTATTCCTCTCTACTTGAATCCAATAAGCATGAAACTTGATGTCAGAATGAAAAAGTGTAACAATCAACACACACTTGTCTTCATTTGAATTTTTTTTGTTGTCTATTGATTTTGACCACAAATCAAATACAGGCAAATGAATTGAATAATTCCTACTTTATCAAAGAAATCTTTTAATTTTATTGCTCCACTTCTCCACTTGACAAAAGAAATCTATAAATTATATTACTCTGATTTATTTTAGGTGAGGACTCTGATGATTTGTAAAAGTTGTCTTTAATGTAATATATAATACAATATATAATTAATCAATACAAGAATGTTAATTTTCTTCCAATTTGCAGTTGATTGTCTGGTTGGCTTTGTATTTCATTTTTTTTTCTTTCTTTTTTTTTTTTCTCATGGTAAATTTTCTAATTTCAGTCAATGTCACAATGTAGGGGATCAAATTGATCCCCTTGCCTGTCGTTCCTTGGAGAACATGAAAGCACTTAGTTTTGCTGTCAGTGGAAGTCGGAAAGTTGCAGCTGTGGTAAGTTTTCTTTACCTTGACCCCCACCTCTACCCCATATCTTGCATATAAAATTGAGCAATGTTTACCTGGATACTAAAGACTACTGAAAGGGGCAGGTACTTTTGGATGTTGTTTGGGCGCTACTTAAATAGACTGGTCCACTCATAATAATGTTTATATATTAACATTTTTTGGCCTTCCTCAACCTTGTCAGAATAGAAAGATATTGATTTTTTTTTCTTTTTTCTAAATCAATTTAGAAGTGAGAAAGTTCTGTTCATAATATTGATACAGTGTTAAATTGATCCCCAACTTTTACAGAGTTATTTGCACTTAAATCCTATTTACAGATGCCATACCTTGAAAAATGTGCATATCATTAATATCTGCATATGAAAACAGACATTTTATCTTAGATAGATTTCTTTTAAATAAAGAATAAATGAATACATTTCTATGTGTTTTATTTTAAGAAAATCTTTTAAGCAAGCAACTGTTTTTCAAAATTAATTTTTATCATCTTTTTACAAAAATACTTTTTGCCATTAAAGATCAAATGGATGTGCGCATTCGTTAAGTTTTAATTACAGAATAAAAAAAAATATACAGATATTAATGATATAAGCACATTTATCAAAGCCAAAACATCTGCAAATAAATAAAAAATAAGTTCAGATAACTCTGTAAAAGTCAGGGATCAATTTGATATTATGAACAGGAACTCCCCATTTCTAAACTGATAAAAAAAATCTATTTTTCTATTCTGACAAGTGTTGTGACCTGAGGAAGGCTGAAAGGATGGTAATTTACAAACATTATTATGAGTGGACCAGTCTATTTAAGTAGTGCTACCTTTTGCTATTAGTAAACTTTTCTCTACTAATGAACACTGGGTTTTCAGCTTTATACCAATTTTTTTTTTTTTTTTAAGAGTACAAGTGCTACCATTAATCAAGATTATTTAGTTATGCATGAATATTTTATTATTAGGGCAAAATAAAATCATTACTTGATCTTTGGTTAGCAAGATGTTTAATTCCAAGCATTGAAGGACATCTTTTTTATTTTTTAATTGTTTCTAGCTCTTTTCCTCAAGACGTCGATGTCGTGTTTTTTTAATGGATGCAGAAGATGATGATGATGAAGACACAATGTTTGAATCAACCTGTAATGAGACTGGCCCAAACGAGTGTAAAGCCACTGACAAGAGTGACAGTGAAGCGTGGACTTTGGCCCCAGAAGCAGCAGACAACAGCACAGCGGAAGGAGATTCTTTGGGAGCTGATGACGAAGATAAAGAAAATACAAGTATTATGGAAATGGAATAAGATCATTGGCAACATCTTGTCTCGTCTATCCAAAGCAAAACCTTCAAGTCTGAATTCACCCCTTTTATTCTTGGCAAAATCTGGTGCCCTTTACAAAGGTGTGTGATATGTATTTGTGATGGTTAAGAAACAATTTCCTTATATTGATATAAAATTAGAAACCTCAAGTGTTTGTTTTATTTTTTGAACACCAAAGTGGGTGCTGAAAACTAAGCTCTCTTAAAAACATATATATATATATATATATATATATATATATATGAATAAAGGGAAAACCTTTCTTAGCTGATGCATTTCATCCTCTGAGATTATATATATGGGGAGAGAGAGAGAGAGGATTAATACAAATATAAAAATTGTCTCAGCTGATTGATGTTATATTCAGCCTGACTCCAGATTTTCATAGATGAACCTTTTTGTAATCATTCTATCAGTAATTGACTGCAGATTTTCTCATTTTTATATATACATATGTATGATGATTTGTGAAAATTTAGGAATTCAGTTGAGCCAAGATCTTTTCAGCACCCTCTTGTATTATTTTATTGACGAAGACAAATGCCCACACATAATTCACCATTGTATTCTACTCTTTTCTGTGGATTTAGAGAAAGTCAAATCTGATTTTGTAAATTATTTGGATCAGGTCCAAGATGGTTTCTAACCTTTCCTGATTATTTCTGAATGGATCTTTTTTCAAACATTTTTTGCAGATGGAATGAGATTTTTTTTCTTATATTTTCTCTTTTAATTTAATTGAAAGGCACAGAAAATGCCTTAAAATCCTTATAAAAAATGCAGCCTGTAGAATTAAACTTTTCATTTATCAATGTGGCTCACAAATAAAATAAAACTTTGAGAAAGAGAAAACAAAATGAATGTTTTTTTTCATTTTCATCTTGAAAAAAAATGTTTTTTATTTTTTCTGTGCCTCTTTCAGAATTTGATAATTACAAAATAATTACATTTGTTGATGTAAATAAAAAAATATCCACTTTTGTAATAGCTTTAACTCATGTATGAGAAAGAAATTGAACTTTTTAAATTATTTTTCCCTTTAGTGAACAGAAAAATTATGTTAAAGACAAATTGCAATGTTGCTACATGACATAGCAAGCTTTTATGGTACAGTCTGTGAGTTTCTATATTGTATTTCGTCAAGAGAGACATGAGATGTAACATGCACCCTAATCTCTACCTTTTTATACAAGACCTGTTGAACAGTGCTATAAATGAAATAGTTTAACACTTAAATGGGCAGCAGAGTAAATGCGTTAAGAATCTCTATCCATTCTCACTGTTCCACCCAATATTTGATCTGAACAATTTATGACACTTGCATTTTTTTCAAAACCATTTTTCCTGTGTTGATGTGCCATAAAATTGGTCAAACCTGTTTTCACAGTTTCTTTTCTCCTTCTGTAATTTGTGTCCAGAAATCGTAAAGTTCCTTCATGGAATGTTTCCAGAGTCGGAAAAGTAATGGCCAACCACGTTTCTCTGTATCCAGTGGATATATATTGGTAGGATTCTGCCAGTATGTGTAACGCCCTATTACTAGGGACTGCACCAGGCGCCCACACACCAGTAGAGGGAGTGCCTCCTTTTCAACCTGTTTAAGATCAAACTCTGTAAGGTAACCTGCCAGTACATGCCTTCCGACCTCCAATGGGTTGTCTAGTTTACACTCAATCATCAAATACATGATCATCATTGCCAGATCAAATACTGGGCAGGAATGTGTGGCATCAGCAAAATCGATAATTCCACAAAGAATGTAGTCCCTGTCCTTGTCTTCAGTAACACAGTAACTGCTGTTATTGTCTGTTGTTGATGTGGTGGACACAGTTAATGATGGCTTCTCTTGTGCCAGGATGTTTAACAGATTCATATCTCCATGAATTTGACCTGAAAAAAAAGAAAATTTAAAGGAAGCTTTATAGAAAGAAAATTGAAGAAATTTTCTTTAAATTAAATAAGAATCTTCATTTCTAACCAATAAATATACTGAAAGGTGACATGATGATAATCCAAGTCACTGATTGTCACAGATATACTCTAAAGGTCATGTGAATGTTGAAAGGCATCTGAAAACACTTAAATACATGAATTGCTAGGATGTTTGTGTGCCTCATGATTTAGCAGAAAAAAAAAATTTAATGGACTGCATCTTCATCAGCAATTCTCTGCTCAAACAAATAAGATCCATTTTTGAAAAAAAAATGATTACAGTTGATGAAAAATAGATTGTTTACAATAATGATGAGCAAAAAGGGTACTGGCAAAAAAAAAGAAAGCCAGTCTGAATCCGAAGATGATGATGATGTGTATCTCATGGGATTTGAAGGTTATTGTGGATTACAAAAGTTGTTTCAGCAAAATTAGACATTGGGATGCAATTAAAGACATAAATTGATAAGTATATGGACTTGACCTATTGGAAGGGTGTTATCTTCCATCAAAATGATGCCAAACTGCACATTTATTGGCAGGCCAGGGAGAAACTTGCAGCTTGACCTGGATATTGTCTGACTACAGCTGCTATAATCACCTGATCTCGTTTCTTTGGATTATTACTTATTTCGATCCCTACAAAATTCTCTTGATAGGAAGAACAATGCTCTGGAAGACTGTAAAATCCACTTTGACATCATCCAGAAAAATATAAAGTTCTGTGGGTGGGGAATTATGAACCTGCTTTAATAATGGAAGAAGGTAATGAAACAATGGCTCATATGTGATTGAATAAATCTATGGACAAATATCTAAATATTGTCTTTGAAATTCACTTAAAATGTGATGGACTTTTGTTCTGATCATATACTTTGGACGGAGGAAAGGTTTGAAAATTAAGAAGCCATTTGATTATGAAGAAAGCAATTGTTTAATCACCAATGGCTAGTTGAGAGCAGATTTTATTTTCTGGGAATGCAAACAAAACCATTTTCATAGATACAAGCTTGAGTACATGGTGGTGTTTGTGAAAAAAGAAAAAAAAATTAACAAGGCATAAATATATTATTAAAGAATGAAAGTGAAATCCATATTCTGAAAAGATTTTTTATGTTAATGCTTTTTGGATAAAATATTGAGTTTTTCTTTTCTTGGGAAGAATGAAAAGGTTTTCTTTTTAAGATCCTATTCTTGAAGAACTCCCATTAGTCATGACATCACCATGCTTTTTTATGTCTAGGAACTGATCTTGATGCTTTTTCATCATAACTGTAAAGCCGAATTTTGATGACACTTTTTGGAATATTCTTTTTCTGGGAGAAGTCCCACATTTGTTAAAAACTCTCTGTTATCCTTATGTCTGGACTCCAATAATCTCTGAGAGTTCAGGACAATTGTAATTGCCTACAGATTGTGTGATTGAGAAACATTTTTCTTTTTTTATTATTTCATATTAAACTCTTCTTCACTTTCTCTTTGGTTAGAAATTTGCAGTTTTGAATCTAATGACCTAAATAGAATATTCATCCAAATGTCAGCTTATTAGAGAATCATTTTCTGCCATTAGGAAAACAGCTGTTTGACCAGACAAAAGAAAAATGCAGGATTTAGCCAAGAAAAATTGAGAAAAACTCATGAAATTCAAACAAATGAAAAATTGTTAAGTGAAAAAGCCAACCCAAGTGTATTGAAAATTATGTATATATATATGTGTGTGTGTGTGTGTGTGTGATCTGCTTGTTTGAATCATCTTCAAGAAGCGAGAGCAAGATCTAAAAGGTCAGCCAATCTAACAGTGATCTCATCTCACAGTCTTCACTCTTGCTCCATATGTGGCCTCCTTTGTAAATCACTAACGGGTCTTAAGATTATCACTCAAAATTTCATAACTGAATCAATTAACCTGTCAGATCCTCATACGTCAAAACCGACGGGAGAGTCCATTATTATTATTATATGTGTGTGTCACCAGGATTTCAATTTCTTACTTTTAATATTATACCTGAGGATTAAAAAAACAACAAAAAATGTAATTGTCTTATTTATTCAATTTCCATCCAATCACACACTGATTTAAAAAAAAAAATTTTCTAGTGAGTATAGGGATGCAGGTTAAGAAAAAGCAAAACTTTGTATTAAAAAAATAAATCCAAAACGATTGTTTAAAATAACATTCGGAAAAATCTGACTCCATTTGAATTTGCATCACTTTCACTTCAGTTTATTTGTTCCATTTTGGCTTGAAAATAATTTCACATGAATATGGAGATTAATTTTTTTTATGATGAATTTCTGTTTCCTTTTTAGACAGTAATAGACGAAGATCTTTTGCTTTTGAAACGGACAATTAGTAGACAAAATATTTTTTCTATGTATTGAAATATTAATTTTAGCTTTGAGAAGTTAAATTCAATGAAGTGTTTATATAAGTAGTGTATCAGAAAAATTATTAACGATTTTGGCCAGTGTGTTTTTACGGAAACGGATGGAAAATGGAACAACAAAAATATTAGCCTTTTTTATTGAGTAAAATTATTTAGTGTTATTTAAAGGAAAGACTCAAAAGATGGCATTGAAACATTTAAATAATATCGTATAATGACCTTTTTGAAATTCTGGAAATAATGGAAGAATTTGCCACTTGTATGCATCAATGACTTCATTGACTACTTGATGTTTCTTCTGATCTTCAATTGCAAAGGTAAAATCCTTTAACTTTGGTATGAATTCCATGCTCCAAATTGATTGGTGATTCTCATAGTAAGAATGATAAAAATCCTGCAATGTAAAGATATGCTCTGTTAAAATTAGGAAACTTTTGCGGATGCACACCTTGTTGAATACAATAGAGAAATATTTGTAAAAAACAATGAAATTCTGATCTCATGAACCAATCAAAAATGATCTTGATTTGAGGTTTGTTCTCAACCCAAATAATAGAGATTTCAGTCAATCTATGAAATCAGTCTTCATCTATTATCTGTGCAGACTTTTAAGTCTAGCTTCTGCGTTGGGATGGGGTGTGTTGATCTAATTGGGACTCCAACCAAAAACTAAAGGAACCTCGGGTGCAGCTTAGAAAAGAACGGTAATGGTAATTCTGAAGAAATAACTTTGAGTTCCTCAATTCACTGGATGGAACTTCAAAACTTCACTTTAACTCTGATTCCGGCAGTAAAACTGATTTGGGCCGAAAATTGAGATCTTCAAATCAAACTCTGTAGAACTTCAACACTTCACGCCAGGAATCCTCTCACTTTAACTGATTCCTTGGCATTTTGAAGAAATAAAATTGATTTTCTCAATTCGTAAACTTTTGGAGATATTTTAAACTGAATTTAAAACAAAAATGTTTAAATTCAAGAAAGTTTTTGTTACTTTATACTCAGTATAAATTAAAAACTTTTTTTCAGTTATTTTAAATTTGGATTTTTTAAATGTTCTTTCTTCATCCGGACACAAAACCCAATGCTGGATGTTCAAGCATCAGATGAAGGACAGATTTCCAATCCCGGGATCATCCTGATTCCAAAAAGGTAGAATATATTTTTGTAGGGCAAATATGGTCCGAGTTAGAAGGGGTTTCAGACGCACGGACGGACAGCCAGAATTTGTCGTTTATTTATTTAGAAGAAATAAACTATCACCTGTTTACGTTTTTTATGGAGAAAAATTTCAGTCATTACTAACAATAGCATTAGAACTTTTCTTTATATGAGGGGGGGGGGGCTTGCCTTTAAACTGTCTCACTTTCTGTTACATATATTTAAGGTTAGTATGGTAGAAAGCCAAATAGAGGTAGGATGAATGTTACAGAAAGATTATGTTGCCACAAATCTACAAATGGGGATTTTTAAAGGTTTTAAAAATCAACATTCAAGATCTTGAAAGATTTTAACATAACTCCTGATACCAAAAAAAAAAAAAAAAAAAAATTAGGGTCCTGTCCAGGAAAAAGAGAACTGATAAAGTTTAGCTAAGTGCAAATGGCCAGTTGTATTCAATTCAAGAATTTCTTTCTTTCAACACAATTGCAATCAACCTCGCATTAGCTAGATGTTCTGCAAGGGAGATTATGTTTTCACGCGTTTATTCCCCTTAACCATTTACTATTAAATATATTCAGAAATTCTAAGGACTTTGAATATAATGTCGCATGTTCAGAGACGGAATAAAATTTCTTTGTACAAAAATATAATAATCCTTATTTGCAAAATGACAAAAGCCTAAAATGGAACGAATTTTATTTCTTTATCGAAAGGAAAAGAATTCTAATAATGCTGACTTGGTCTCTTCCCAATATGGAAGAGTTTTCGTACTTTTTAAAGTGTTCCTCTCATCTGATTAACAGTTTATTGCGCTAAGCCACTTGAGACATGTTTGCGTATTTCTCTGCATGTTTATAATTATTTGATCTTAGTCCACTGAATATGAATCGTCATTTTGAAACCTGATAAAAGCTAGAAGCACATTTTCATTTTTCACCATGATCTCTTGGGATAAGCATGCTCAATCGTAAGAGCCCCTGACAAAACCTAGCATATTTTGCACAGATGACTCAACCAATACCTTACTGGAGTGGAGCCTTGCTTTCAGATATTGAAATACGTTTTTATCATGATGCTAATAATAATTATTTTCTTGACATGAGACACATGCACACACATATTCTAAATTAAAACTGAAATTTACTTTGAGAGCTTTGTCAATGAAACCAGTAAATTTCCCACATTTATAAAAGAGTGGTGGGGTTAGTGGGACTTTATCAAGAGTTGAACCCGGAATAAATGTCTGCAGCACCACTATGTATTCGCGGTATTCTGTGCAACTTGGATTGTCCAAATCTGAAAAGAAAATAAAGCACAATATTTGAACAGATTTTAAATTTTAGAAAAAAGAAAACGGAAAACAATTGTTAACATTTTCGTCACTGTATTTGATGAATGAAGTAAAAAATATTGTTTTTTTTTATCTGTCTATATTTCTGAGATGAGGTATTATGTACACTATTTACATTATTCGGACTATTGTCCTCATCTTTGTCGCCATATTTATTATAACGTTTCGGCCGTTGTAATAAATATGGCGACAAAGATGAGGACAATAGTCCGAATAATGTAAATGTTTTTTTTTGTTTTTGTAAATTGTTATGAACCTTTCTTTAGTAATGACCATTGTTTTCAATACACATTCTGTCAGTCATGAGATTGTATAAAAATGGAAAATAAGACATGTTAAGTTACTGTTAAGCTGTCGTAGATTTTCTACCGATTCCATGATAAAAGAAAAGAAAAAACAACTAGTTAGATTTTGATTCGGGAATTGACTGGGGCCCAAGAATATGAATAATGGCTGATAGAACAAAATCAAAGATGTGTGTGATTGCGTTGGGAAGTGGTTAAAAACTTGGAAAGGGCGATTATACAGACCGTGCAAGAATTATTGTTGAGAATCGATATTAGCCAAAAGTTGGCCATTTTGATTAGTGTTTTTCAGAAAGGAGGTCATTTATGCACTGCATTTCTTAGTTTCTGGGTTTTGAGAGGAGACAAAAAAAGAAAAGAAAATGGAAATGTAACTCATAGTAAAAAATTACAAGCGGAAGAAAAGGGCTGACAATTTATTTGTTTTAATGTTGATTAAACAAAATGATGATAGTTCGATCGATTGATTGATTGATTGATTGATTGGTCTTTTATGGCTTATCAACCCTTCATGGGTTTATTTAAAGCTGAAACATTTTCAGATTGTAAGAATAATAATTTGTAAGTCAATGATGGCATTAGCAATTTTTTGGGGGAGATAATGATTTTTCCAGATATATTTTTACTATTTAATCCATAGTTGGCTGAAAATAGGTTTTTTTTTATTACGATGAGTTTCAGAGATTACAATTATCATAGAAGGTATGCCGAAATCGATTCTGGGCGCGCTGCAACTGTAGCCTTGTACCAGAATGAGCTACAGAAATAATCCATCGTTAAATGCTGATTAGTCAGCTAAACTTGTGCCGTCTAATGGGCTCTATTATAAAGTAAATCATGTGTACATCTATATGGTTTGTAATTACTGTGAGCTCTATTTATATATGTGTGTGTATGTGTACGTACTAGCTGTAGTAGTCATCAACGATGACTGCTTATAAGGACAGACAATTCTTTATTAGTACTGTGGTGAGATTGTCTACTTAACGAAACACTTCGCTTCACATACCAACAAGAAACAAATGCAGAAGGAAGAAAGAACTGTTATATAATTTTTGTTGTCAATGAATAAATTGGTCATGTACAGTAATTTCGTACATATCAATTAGTAGCGTAAAAGAAAAAACAAAATAGTTTTCATTAGTTATTGGTAAGTTTTCAATGAAGTAAAAAAAACCCTGAAAAGTAGAAAATTATTTGGGGGAAATCTTGTCCTGACATTGTAGTTATACATGAGACTACAACTGTTGCTATAAAAGATAAATCTCTATAAGAAGACAAATAGAAGTCAAACCTTCCTTCATGAAGAAGACTTAAAACCTTCCTCCTAGGTTCAATACGTATGCACGTCGTATTTGAGGCTTCTAGATGAAAGGATTTGGCTCTGTATTATGGACAAACTCATCTCTCTCTCTCTCTCTCTATATATATATATATATAGGAGATTTTTAAAGGTGTTTTCTATATACATTTCTTCGAGTTGTCGAGATGCAAAAGTGATTATCTCCTTGTGGTCGCAATGAAGTCACATAGGTCACGTGACGGCCGCTTAGTGACGTTACTTTGTAGAGTGACGACAGTGATTAGTTTTTCAGTCAGTATCCAGGAGTCAAACCGAGTACTCGGCACCGGCTGGCAAGCATATGACAAAGTTTTCTTATGGAAATATATCTTCACCAGATATAGAAAATATCATTGGCTGGCAGTCCTAATGTTGGGAAAAACCCAGGACTTTCAGTTTCCCGTTTCCGAAATATGTCCTCGCTATGAACATAGCAGATACATCTTGTCCTTTCGAATCTAGAATCCTAAATATGGCTTCTCCAGAAACACAGAAGAATCTCTGGTAACTCCATTCCCGTTGATAGTTATTATACTTAAGATTATCGTTTCATTTTCCTTTTCACACTGTTTGTTGTGTAGACATACGTTGTAGTTTCTCTGCATGGGGTACATGTAATTTTGTGTATGACTTAGCTGTATAAATTTCTCTCTGTGATCAAAGCATGTTTGTAGATAAAAAGTCATTAGTCACCGACGTTTTTATTGCAACATATCAGAAGTCCAAGACTTGAAAAAGGTAATCATTTAAAATACTATATTTATTTAGGAAGCAAAGTCCAAAGTTAAAAACCATACATTTTGGTACCCCACAAAAGAATCTGGTGGATATGGATTCACAGGGCGATGAACAAAGATATATTATCAAAACAACATTTGCACTTAAAAATGGGATTGTCGTCACTAATTAAGGTAATTAAGTGCCATTATATGTACGGAGGGTGCTGAAATATTCTCAACTCGACCAACAAGGAATTGATAAAAAATTATGTTTGGTCAAATTTAGAGGATTAGGTCGACAATAGTAATCTATTAAAAATCAAAAAGAAAGGGATTGTCTATGGTCAAGAACTGATTCAAGCATGATTAACGCAATCGGTCTATTTTAGGTATGATTTATGCTCTTTTCCACGCATGTATAGAACTATTTACAAAAACATAAAATTCAATAAAGATATTATTTTAAAAAATAATTTCCTAACAATTAAAAACAATTTTATTTCCCTGTAATCAAAGAGTCACGATTATCGTCATGAAAAAAAAAAAAACCCCAAAAAACAAAAAAACAAGCGCTCTAAATTAGGCTTTGAGAAAAAAAGCATAAATTCACATTCGCCTGCGCTTTGTCTCGACACAAATAATTGATATGCCATAATGGTTGACCGAGAAAAGTGTAAGCGCTTAGGCAAACCACTTCTCCATAGCTACCTTATACAGTAGCAGTAAAAAGCTGTTACCGCCATCGCCAACCTTGACATGAGACAATCCAAATACTTACCGGTGTATATTTTTTGTAGTGAAAAGAATTTTCCATCCAGATTTGGAATTCGTTCCGGTGTGGGGACTTTTTTCTGTCGAATGAAATCTGTCATAGCGTACAAGGCATCTGAAAGAGGAATATAAGGGACATAATGAAATCGTCTCAAATGACAGTTGTTCTATTTGGCTTAAGAGCAACTATTTTGAGTACTTCAGCTACATACCGACCCGTCAATTTATAGGATTTACAAAGGATTTCCCGCGAGAAATTCTTGAAATTGGTTTTATAAGCCATAAAATAGATTTTTTTTTTCGAGGCGAATTAGGGTTAGAATTAACTGGGATCGACATATAAACAAGACATGTTGCAAAATAATTTCTTGTCCAAAGATCGATATTTGGTTAAACTAGAAAGTTTTCATTCATATCAAAGCAAGAAAAAAAAAAACACGATAATGTTACTGTAGGGAAATTAAGAATTGTCATTGTATTATATCGCAACTTAAGCCGGTACTCTTGCATGCAGATGACGACTTCTATCTTAGCATATATTATTCCATGCCTCTTGAATCTATTGATGCAACATAACAAGGGTAGTAGGTGGGTTAATTGAAGAAGTCAGGTATAGTTCTATCATATCACATATGTCTAGTGCTTGAAAGTAACTGCACATAAAAATATTTTAAAATTGTAGTTTAATAAAACGTATTTTAACACAAAAAAATCTTTGAGTATACAAGAAAAAAATGCCGAAAAACTTTTTGTCGTTAATAAACAAAAAAAAAAAAAAACCCAGACGACATGCATTTAACGGATGTCAGAATTCGTTGAGAAATACGATACTTAAACTTCCGCACATACTTGATTTAAGTGTCCCCGATCTGCAAATCGTATTTTGGGTTCATCCTTTTACTGATGACCATGAATTCTGTCTTCTTGTAGTTTATGGTTAGCTCCTTCTTCTTGCTCTCGATACCTTCTGTAGGAGGTTTTGTAGTTTCTTTTCCCTGTCTGCTATCAGTACCGTGTCATCTGCGTATCTTTCTGCTATCAGTACTGTGTCATCTGCGTATCAGGTAGACACTGACTATATTGCCTTACCAATGCGTTACGTCTCTGATATACTGAAATGTTAGCTCGACTATGTGCATTGGGATTTGCGGATCAGATAACCAAAATTAAGACGTTCTGTATACGAGAGGATTGTTCAGGATCAGACACATCTACCCAGTGGCGCCGGATTTTAAGGTTGAAAGCTTTTTAATTTTCAAATTAAATTAAATAAAATTCCTCTGTTCGACAAAGAGGAAACATTCCTAACTTACAATAGTTTCTGGTAGTAAGTATTTCCAGTATCTGATTCTATATTTATATACGTACCTATAAGTAAACTCTTTTCAATAATTTCTAACCAGTGAACGTATGTTTTAAATTACCTATCTTCCTGATATTTATTGCGTGAATCTGAAAGAAGAAGCTCCTACAATTTCAGGGCGGCAAAAGTAGGAAATAGGTCACTTGATAAACTGCCTTTGTCGGCTATTTTCTGTGTCAGATATTTGTTTGACATTCTTCCATCGACTGCTTGTGCATTGTTTCGTCTTGTCCAATGATTGTATCATGATGCCCTTCCCTTTAAGACTTCCGAATTCTCTTTATTACTACGCTCCTTCACTATCAGGGAGTTTCTTTGAACCACCGTCTGGGTGGGTGGGGAGAGAGAGAGAGAGAGAGAGAGAGAATTTTAAATTCCTTTTTATGTCAAAAATTCACACACTGCATTTCTCCAACCGAAGAGTAAGATTGTAAGATGCGAGTGTTTCTCGAGTTTAACTTCAAGATTTCAGTATTTGGAACAAAAAAAAAAAAAAATTCTATTCATTTTTTTTTTTTATTTCCAATTTTTCCTAAGAGAATCTCACTAATAAATATAATTTAAACTTGATACTACTACTACTACTACTACTACTACTAATACTACTACAACTAATAATAATAATAAATTACTTGGGTGATAATATTATAAAAGACAGATCTCTGGTGCCAAATTGGGAGTTTTAACGATTCAAAATAAGCAGTCACCATCTGAATTTTGTTGGAAAAATTAAGCATTTAAAAAAAAGAAAATGTACGATAGTCGTGTTTAAATTAACGAAATTGGAAGGTGATAAAAATGTTTACCTATATATTGTGGTATCTGAGAGTCTCTTAAGTTGAAGACTTTAAGGAGGTAGCCGTTCGGATCGACGGAATCCAGGTGAGGATTTTTATGCTCTTTGTGGACACTAACCAGGAAGTTGCGGTCATCGTAACTCACCAATTCCTCCCAGTTGATAACGTCCATTCCATAAAGACGCGACATCAAATTACTGACCATACCAGCAGGGTTTATCGGTTTGATCAACTGAGTCTCACTCATCCTTTAAAAAGAAAAAAAGTAAATACGTATTCGAATAAAAGTTGTTGTTTCTGTGCATTCAACGGTGCATCTTTACAATTTAATCTTTTCGCTAATATGGTGAAAAGGTTAAATTGTAATGATGTTAAATTGTAAAGAGGTTATATAACAAATACAACAAAACTCTTAGGACGTTCAAAATGTCTCCTGGGATAAAGCTAGTCTACATGTTGAAATAAAATTAAAAGTAATAGTTTTTAACTAATATATGACAACAAAAAAAATCTAGAATACATTAAAAACGAAATTTAGTTACAATTGTATTATGTTGACGAGACAAAACACGGAATTTACAGATCGCTTTATACGTTTTATTTCTGTTCACCCATACAAATGCGAACTAATTTCTGTGCAACTTTCAATAATGATGGCGCCATTGTGGTAGGTTATTGTGTTATGTAATAGATTTTAAAAGTCAGTGATTGTAAACTGGGCGTTTTGTTTAAATAGGAAATTAAAGTAGAAGAAACAAACTATTCTGAATATTGAGAAGAAAAAAACTGTGATAAAATGGCAAAAACGAGAGATTAACAAATCACATTTGTAGTTTTGATCACAGAGAATAGATAAGAGGTATTAAAAATGATCTCTTTTAATCATTTCACCCAAAGTAAGGCGATAAAGCCACTAAGACGCAATAAGTTACTGAGAACGAAAGAAACTAAGAAAACTGAGTTTTTATTGAGGAGAGAGGACGATAGAAGAATAGGATTATAAAGACAGAAGATAAAGACTGACGTTGCATTTAACTTTGTGACCATCATTGTTGACATGAAAGAATCGCAAAGTGCAAGAGAAGAAACGATTAGAATAGAACTTACAGTTACGTAGCAATGACATAAATGAGAGTGTTAAGGAATAAAACTAAAAATGGTATTTATTTCGGGAAGTAATTATTGTTATTATTAAGAACAATAATGATCTAATGGACAGTCATGAAAACATGTCATCCGATCAGGGTACGAGGGAGATGTCGCTAGGTGAAGCCAAGTTGTGAGGAGATGTTGCTAGGTGAAGACAAGGTGTTAATCTGTTATCAAATACTGAAACTGTATCACCTGGAAAAAATAAAGCAAAAATAATTAAAAAAAAAAGCAAAAAAAAGCAAGCTGTTCAACGATTGAGAAATTCAGTTTCGGTGTTTCAGCCTTCGATGCCTATATTGGCGTCAAGACGATACAGCCCCCCCCCATCCCCACCGAATCAAGACACCAATTAGACATTTTGTAGCTAAAGCGTTGTGTAGAATCGATGCGCATTTGTACCTAAGACCTATCATCTCCATAATTCTGCCTTCATAGAGTTTACAAAGAAAGAAACTTATCGTCTCATTCTGTTGAAAAAAAACAAAAAAACAAAAAGAAACAAAAACAATAATGATAAAGAAATGAAAAGAAAAAGTTTCATTGCTGAGAAAAGAGAGAAAAACAATCTTAACTAGAACAAAAAAAAAAAAAAAATGAATTAGTATCAATACTATTAATAGCAACATTAGTACCAAAATGGACAACCGATGTTTCTTCACATTTGTTTCACCGAAATATTTGGTGGTAGCAAAACCGAACAATAATTTTTTAAACGGATTTCGCCAATTTTGAGAAGAAATAAATTATTTAGACAGCAAAGAAATCGCAATTTCAAGCTAAAAATTATATAACTTCTTTATATTCCAGAAGGAAGTCAATGAAAGAATGCGTCCTCATTTATGCGTTGATTTCATCATCCACCACTAATAAAAAATAAATAAATAAACAAACCTCATTTGTGATAACCTCCGGACTAAATTCATGTATCTCCGGATAGACATAGTTTTCTATAAGAGTTGTAGAATAGTGAAACATTTTCTATCAGATTGTCTACGACTAAACCGGCTACTTGCTCCTTTTCAAATTGGGTCAGGATATTTGTTAGCAACAGTGTAGAATGGTAAATAGAACATATCAAAGGGCGGAAACTAAAAAAAAAAAAAATCTACGACCAGCTTACTAGAGGTGGTGTCTCGATAAAGTCACCGTGGAGAAAGCAACGGTTAAACACTCCATTCGTCTCTCCAATACCAATTATAGGTATAAAAAAAGTAATAGTAAGCGATGTGAAGAGCTCAGTTCACTTGGAATTGATCTCTCGCTTGGTAAGTAGAGTTACGTGCGAACCAACTGACCATCATGCAGTGATTGTTTCCTAATTTGGACATAGAATGTTAAGGCATTGTAAGAATGTAGGTAGGTAGAAAATCACGAACTGGAAATGGAAAAGCTTAATATCGACATTCAAGAAATATGTGAAACTAGAAACATGAAGCTGGAGGACATAGAATCATCTGTGAAGATTGAGAGAAAAATGAAAGTCGAGTAGGACTCACATAGAAAAAAAAGAGAAAAGAAAATGTGTTCTGAGATATTGGGCAAGATGTTTGTTGACATGAAAGAGATTGTAAGGAAACACCAATAACGAGATCAACTATATATATATAAATAATCAGTAAAAGATTAGGCAATATAGTTGTATACTCTAAATCAATATAAGGTACATGGATCATAGTGTGTTCACGGAAGACTCAGAAGAGAAACTACAAGAAAGGACTATTAAACGTAACAAACAAAATGCATGGTTCTCAGTAAAAGAGACAAACCAGAATGTGTGTTACATATTGGGGACATTAAAATAAGGTAGGTACAAAATTTAAACTATTTGGATAGTGTAGTAATAGACGACAGAAAATGCGACGCAGAAATCCAGAAGGACATACAAATAGCGGAATATACCTTCCAGAAACAAAGCAAAGTATTAATAAACAGGAAAATTTTGTTAGAAGCAAAGAAAAAAAATTGCTATGTGAATGCTGGACAATCTTTTCGCAGAAGAAGCACTGACGAAGACGATGTTTTCACTGAGGGACGCGCTGCCAGGAATCCCATGGAATGTGAACACGCGAACAAGTGAAGGAAAATGGAAACTGAAAGGACCCTTGTATATACAATCAAAAGGAGAAAGTTGAAATTTATGCAACACATACTGAGGAAAGAGGGCCTGGAGAATTTAACACTCACATGGCATACTGAATGCAAAAGAAGCAAAAGGAAACAGTGGCTAAGTAAATTTTTGAATTTATGTTAATATATAACAGATCATAGACTAAGAAGGATTATAAAAAGGCAAAGGTTATTTCTCCTATGTGCTTTATCCATTGAGGATGTTGGCGATGTGAATATCAAATTTTCCAAGCCCTCTTTCCTCATTATGTTTCCTAGAAATTTCAATTGTCTCTTTCTGATAAGTGTCCTTTTTTATTTCCATTTGCTCTAAAACTCCGTGGTTGCTAACATGTTCGGTCCATAGTATTCTCAGCATCCTTCTGTAGAACCACATTTCTGTTACTTCAAGTGGCTTCTCATCCTCCAGCATTCACTGCCATACAGGAGGGACTGATATTTCATAACAAAAGACTTAACTAACTGACATGCATTCACATTGTTAGAGTTTTTATCCCACTCGGATGCCAGCCGGCGTTGGAATAAAGTGAGGTGTGGAGGGGAGCTGCCCGCTCATGAACCACAATTTCGGATCGTGGATATTTATTGAATGGAATAAGTCTTGTGCTTTTTTTTTAAAACTCAAACAAGGGTAGACCGACTCGATTTGGATCGAAGGAGGAATTATCGTAGGAGAAATCCAAATCTACAAATCACTTCTGGAAAAAATGTTTTAAAAATAAAATATTCTGAATTGAAGAATTTGCAGCACAATGTGAGCATTAATTAAGATTTTGAAAACGTTTACCGTATATATACTCATAAAAGACGACTTAGGTGAGAAAATTACCTGCGCAACTTGACATCGAAAATGCATAATTTTTAACCTCTTCCAAAACATTACTTGTTTAGAGTGCGACCCCCACTGATCATAACACTATACACCAGCCAATTTGGTAGTTTCTATCTGAAATTTGTCAGTATCTGTCTATATTTCTGAGATATTATGTACACTATTTACATTATTCGTCATATTTATTACAATGTTTCGGCCGTGTTCAGGTTGTTGGAATGAACTGGGGTAGACTGTTCTAGTTTCACGTACCATCTCTAATAGATGTCAGTTATCTCCTGTTATCTCCTGTTATCTCCAAGTTCTCCACCGCCTTAACCAGGTATTGAACTCACACTCTTTGGGTCCTGTCATTGGATCTAACCAACGCCTTTATCTACTGTGCCATGTGTCCTTGAGGACATCGGTGTATGAATTTCTGGGAATTATAAACCTAATGTCTTCAGCAACCATTTTTTTTACCAGTGCTCATATTGCAATTTTTGATGTTATCATTTCATGTTTTTACCAGAGTTTATATTGCAATTTTTGTTGTTATTATTGCTTTTCTCTGGCACTCCTTATTACTAGTTTCCATATTGTATTCATATCTATGCTTGGTCGGCTCAGGAGATTTTTGTGGCCTATCATATATGCTGAGTCCTTAAGTTTGCGAATTTTCCAATGGTGTTCTTTGTCTATGATCTCAACCTGATCCCACAGAGGGCGGTGATCTCCCTTTTCTCTCCATATGTGGTCAGCTACGCCAGATTTTTCAACTTCCCCTCGCGTTACAGCTTTCTGGTGTTCTTAAGGGGGCGGCCTGTCTCCCTTTTATATTTCTGAAATTTGTCATTACAGCAACTAATATAGTGTTTTCTTTTTTTTAACTAAAACTCCATTGCAAACCTGTTAATGTTTCTATTCAATTTTGTCAACAAAATTATAATATGTAACAAACGTAACAGATGTGTAAAATTCTGTGTATGTCTTGCGATTCTCAAACCTCTAAAGTTTTTATCGCGTCTGTGTCTTTCTAAGGACTAAACGAGTTTGACTTTTCGTGGAATTGAATCAGAATTTTAGCGCGAAACCCGAAGACTAATATCTTTTAT